CACCTAAAGATTAAGCTGTAGTTTTTACAAGCAAAACGCAGAACAACACAAATCACACCAGATGTTTTCAAACAATTTTTTTGCAGACTTTCCAATTACAGTAATAAAGTATACAGACGAATAATGGTTTTGACTTCTAAACTCATTTCAGTCCTGTTTTTTTTCAATATTCAGTAGTTTATTTCGGTGATTCTGGGTTCAAGCGAAAAGATGGCTCATATTTTCTTTATTAGAACTGCCGATTTTCGAGCCTCGCGGTCAATGTTGGTCGTCTTCAACACGACAGATCAATAAATGACTTTAATTGTATGATTAGCCACACATTTCTGCGTCGACGTTGTCCTCGTGTGATGTTTCTGGCAACCACAAATGCCGACATTAGTTTAAACACATAACAATATCGGTACACAAGTGGGGATAAAATGATCATGAGGAATTCTGACTCCACTGTCCAAATGAATTGAATGATCTTATTTTCCGCATATTTTTTGATCCTGTCTATTACACATGTTCCAGAATCTTTAAATTCCTTTCGTACGTGATTACTATTTTGTCCAAAAAGATGAAAACATAACTCCGCCGTTGTCGGTTTCAATACCAGTTGAGAAAGGCTCAAGGTAAAAGATCATGGTGAAGTCCGTAAAACTTCGGCACCCGCCCTTCATGGTATTGAAGTCATCATAAATTATACCGTCGCCCGAGTTACCAATGGCCGCACAGGCTGTTGCGGGGACTGAGTCAGACTGCGAAAAGTCGGCGATCAGAACCTGCTCATTGCCCTCTGTCAGCCTTGGGCGTACCAGCACAACAACGACTGAGGAAAATCGACAGAACGATAACGAAGATAACAGTCAGCAGCGGAGTCGGTACCCATTAACAAAGGAAAACTATACAGGGTCATACCGTTATGGCAGGCCAGAAAATGCTCCGCAAGAACAGTACCACCACTGAAGGCTTATAGTCGGAAGTGGGAATATATCCTCGCTCAGAGGGAAAAGGGAAGAGTTAGTTGATGAAGCCATGAATTACCAACCCCATATATTTGGACTCTCGTCACCGAAGCGCCAAGGCTCTGGAATCCTGAACCTCCGCGGGTGGAAGCTATTCTACTCAGGTGTCGATATCACAACTCGTGCTCAGGCCGGTATTGGTGTTCTGATAGAACCCAACCTGGCTCATGGAATCATTGAATGGAAGCCTGTGAGCGGAACGATGGCAACACTCCGACTGAAGTTACAACAAGCTAAAGTGTTGATCTTGGTACAGGTCTATACGCCCAATTTAGGGGCAGAGTACGAGACGTTCCTTGAGGAAGTGCAGTGTGCTCTGTCCGAAGTGCCGAACACAGAGTCCCTCATACTCCTGGTCGATTTTAATGTGCATGTCAGAGTAGACGTTGGAAAGTGGAAAGGCGTGATTCGAAAGATCGGCCGTAGCGACCTAAACAATAACCGCTTCTAGTTGTTACCGTTTTTTGCAAACAACGGATTGTCTATTATGAACACCTTCTTCGAGCATCGAAAAGTGCATCAGTACA